AATCTTGAGTTTGTGTGGATTTTTTTGGGTCCAGGTCTGACAAAATCAGATAAGGAGGCTAAGCATTTCTAGGAGAAACCGATAGGAGCAATTAGTTTCACACAGAAAAAAAAAAAAAAGGAAAAAAGAGAAACAATAGAAATGTTAGTTTTATACTAGGAATCAAGAAAAGGTTTTTTTTTTAATTTCTAGATCTTTTCTGTAATAATCTGATGCACAGAGGTGTTTTCCTGTCTTTGGAATTGTTCAGCTCACATTTTCCTTGTCTTTGCTGACATCTTGTAGCAATTAAGTAGGGAAGGTTCATAAGCTAAGTCCCAGCTGAAAAGTGAAGGAGCGTGGCACAAAGTGTTCCTCGTCTGGCTGTGTGAGGTGAGGTGGCTCTGGTTCATGCATCATCCCCATGCTTCTGAAGAGCTGGCAGGAGCAGATGCTTCTGAGCTCATCCCAGGTCTTTGACTGCCCACCTGACTTCAGCATTTGTCTCAGCCAAGCTCCTCCTTGAGACTGTGGAAAGGATTCCTCAGTACATAGAGGCAGGAAAAGTGCCACTTGTATGGCCAGGATTAAAGGATCAGAACTTATGGGAGTGGTTTTGAGCTATTGGGACTGAATTCACTGTCTGTTCCAAAATAATGGATAACACTGCAAATTAGGGTAATTCTCTCCGCGCTGAGAGGATATTTTAGCATCTTCCACAAGCAGTCTGATCTTTGAAGCCTGATGTTATGCATTCCAGCTTCTCATGACAGAGAAGAAAAAAGCCTGTAAGAAGGTCATGGAAGGGCTGAGTGTTGGATCTTTTTTTTTTTTGCTTAAAAGTGTTATTAAGAGTGGAGCCTTTTATTTCTGCCACTTAACTTGTACAAGACACCCAGAGATGGATATTAAGACATAGGTTATGGCCCAGGAACATCAGATTAAGCAAAGCAAACTCCTCAGTGAAAGAAGAGAGGGAGAGAATAGCTGGAGCAAGTACAGGTCAAAGTCAGCTATGTGGAAGAGAAGCACAAGGGCTGTAGGCTTTGAAGGCAAGTGGCACCTGCGTGTAACTTCTGCCTGCTTCTCTGAAGTGGGGCTGTAGGAGAGGATGCTGCATATTGAGACAATATTTCATGACAGCGAGTTTTGGGAAGCTGTCCAACCCTGTGACAAGCCAAATCGCAAGAACGCTGAGGGATGAATCTCCAAGTGTTGGAAATTATGTGGTTTGTCTACATAGAGAAATTGCAGAGGCTTTAAATATCCTGGAGTTAAAGCTCTGTGATCTCACTGTGAATGAAGATTGTGTTTGTATAAAGGTGTATGATACCAATACAGCCATTTCAATATGTGGTAGGGGGTGGGAAGAGAGAACACACTTCCAACTGAAATAGTTATGCCTGTAGAAGAAAACAGTGGCTTGGAACTACTTAAGCAGAATATGTTTATCATAACAACTAGCTCCAAAAGGCTGCATTATAGTCATTAGGAGATTAAATTTATATCCTAGACTAAGAATAGATTTGAGACTGTAATAAACTGGTTATGTCCTTTTACTGGCTTCTGCCACACCTGCTAGCTCTAAGGAGCTGGAGGAAACTGTCCTGAAGGAGGGATCATTTTCTTTTTTCTTCTAGTTCCTCAGCAGACACGGCTGTGGAATTCTTTATTGGCAACAATATATATCATAGCTTCTGTAATTCGCGTGGGAATGGATTTCAGGTTCAAAGTTACTTAGATAAACTTAGAATTTTTGCTAAAGTCCTCTAACTTCCCAAGAAAACATAAATGATTCTAGATTTTCTCAGATCTTCTGAGCCAAAACAACTTTTATGGGGCTTGATGGTTTGACTGTATAGAGGTGTATAGTACCTTTCTGTATGTACGTATCTGGACTTGGGCTTGAGCTCCACTACAGTGGAATATAAGTTGATAGTGGAGTATTGTGAGAACCCCTGGCCTGGTTCAGGGGTCTCGTGTGGTGGAGAAGTCTCTCCTCCAACCCGTGCTTCCAAAGAAAATCTCCGCAGCCTCTTGTTGTTTGGTCTCAAGGCAGTTTATTGCTCGTTATCTAAAAGATTGTCTTCGTGGGCTGCGGCTGTTTGGTCAGCAACCCAGGCAGAGACACACACACTCCTGACACCCTCACTGCCTGGTGTCTTCTTCTCTCTCCCCACCCAGGGCTGCTGCTATGTTTTATATGATACATTAAGTGATAAATGTTTACAGTTTTTCCCCAATACCTACTACCTATGTTACAAGGTGCTTTTCTACTCTAAACCAATCCATAAGTGCCAGCATCACCAAGAACATGGAGGCAAGGAAGAAGGAGGAAGAACAGGATCAGCCCACTTTCCTCCATCTTAGAACTTCTGACCCCCATGTACAAAGTAAAAACCCCCCTGTACAACACTAAAAAATTTTCCCCTCTATTTTGTAACTACTTCTACTATACTATCTAACCCTTTGTGACCGCTTTTTCCACCTTCAAAGTTGGTAACTCGTTCCATGGCTCAAACTCAAAATCACAGCTGTTTCCAGCTGCCTGCCAGGGTCTAAAATGCTTCTGACCAAGGCCTGGAATCTCCAAAAATGTCTGAGGGACCTTTTGAGTTCCAACAGAATGTGAGTAGCAGCATATTCCTAGATTAGTCAGAATTTATTTAATTTGCCTAATTCAAAATAGAATTCAGAAAAACATTTTTCTAGGCAGCAATGAAAGCAATAGACTTCCTCATCGTCACCTGCACCCACTTCTAGGAGTGCAGGGGAGGATGTCTTCTACAAATAGATGTCACAGAGATGGCTGCCCTGGCAAAACAATAGTGTCCCAAAATAGTGTCTGCCAAGGACCTAGCAGAGGAGGGGCAAAAGATCGGGTAAGTAGACGGGGCAGAGCTCTCCAAATAGATAATTCAGCTGGCACAGGTATTCTGAAAGGGAAGCTTTGGCTGCCTGAATGCCAATTTCCCTGTCTGGTGAATAAGAGTTTCAGTGTTGCTTCCCCATTATGTCTCTTCACCTTTCATAGGACCTACAATTACATGAACTCACTAAATAGTCACTAAACTTTGTCTCCTTTAAACATATAATAATTTAGTAAAGTTGTAACCAGTCTACAGTAAGGCTACTAAATTTATCCAAATCTCTTTTCTAGCCCATGTAACTTAAAAACAATGTTATGTATTATTCTGAGTGCAAATAACTGTACGTTATTCTAGTTTTATATAGAATAACAAAAACCTGTATAGTTCAGTAACCTACATACAGGAAAAGGAATTCAGTTTAACTCTCCCACAGCAAATTGCTGTATTTGACTCCAGCAACCCTGCCTCAGTTTCTTCCCTATAATGAGACCATATGTGCTCCTTTCCAGGGCTTACATAGTTCTGAATGACAGACAAAAGCTAAAGGTTGAGAGCAGCTTTCTTTCTTGCACTAGGAAAATTGAAATCTACAAAGTAAGCAGCTTATCATCTGAAATATTTATGCATTCTTCCCTATAAAAGCACCTATCTTCTCTGCAAAAGTACAGTGAAGCAAAATTCATTTCTTGATGCTTAGAATAGCTATCAAGGACATCTTAATTGATTATTGTGAATTTCAATGTATTTTCTTCTTTAGTTCTCTTTACTGCATCTTTTTTCTTTAGGGAGCAGGTCACCTTCCTGGAGGAAACACAAAACCTCACCAAATGCAATGCTTACAAACAAGGTCAATTGCAGAAAATTACTTCCTGTGTCAAATATTTTGCATTCATATTGTCCACCAACTGAACCCTTCTTACTCAAGTTTATTTTGATATTGGATGAGTTTAGGATAATAAAAAAAGCAGAAGTACACAGATCAAAATCTTGCTTCATTACTTGGGCTACTCTGTGTCAGAGTGGATACCTGGACCCTATGGATAGAAAGGGAAGGAGGGTACAATAATCTAAGCATAGGTCGAGGTTTCAAAGACCTGTAAACAGTTCTGAGCTGTCAACGGATCTAAGTCTCTCCATCATCCATCTGTGAAACACTTTAAACAGCTGTAGCCTTTTTCTGTAAGAAGTCTTATGCAAATGAGTGCATCAGCAGAAAGAAAATGTCCGGGTATCATACAGCTGTGTCAGGCAGTAATACAAGCAATGTACTGAACAGTGCAGCGAAGAAAACATTTTCCCATTTGCTATGTTAAGCTATGAGTCTTAGAAATGGTGAAGTAGTGGGATTTTCCTCTTCCACTGATTTTCAGCATTTCAGCATTTTTGTAGCCTTCTGTAGTCCTTTCAGGTTCCTTTCCAAGCCAGAAGATAACTCACATGTGCCTTCTGTACTTCACACACCCGATACACAACATCAGGACATGTTGAAGAGGTGGTGAGAAAGTGTTGTGCAGAGAACAGGAAATTTCCCCTGATGTCTCTGTCTATGAGGAAACCCAGAGCACTAGAGTTTCTCATTTGAGCTATTATGAACTTGATGAAATTGCTAATATTCTCATCTTCTCTTCCCTGAAGCCTCTTTCTAGCCTTGGCTGAAATTGCAACAAATGCTTTCTTTGCTTGGAGGGAAAATAAAAAAGGAAGGTGAAAAGTAGGAAAATAAAATTATCTTTAAAATGTAGTTGGAGCTGATGCAGTAAATTCAGCTGCTCAGTTGTTGCTTTGCAGTTGTTTGTTGTTTCTGCCATCACCATTAATGTAGTTGAAAAGTTAACTACTGAAGTCTTTGAGTGCCTTTTGATTTATTCTTTCCTCTGTTTTATATCCAGTATATATTTTCATAAGTTGGGCTGTCATTACAGTGGAGGTGAAATTTCTGTCCTTTTTCTAGAGACTAATTGTATAAGAAAATAAAACCCCAAAATATTTATAGTATCATTTGCAGTGTATCTGAGTATACCTAGAGTCTAAAAATACTGATTTTAATTAGTGACCTATTCGGGGTGAGGCGAGAGCTCCATTTTTAGTTACAAGATACTTACTGGTGGAGGTGGAACTCCAGGACAGTTTCAGGGCAATAAATAGCACGGATTTTGGTAGCACATTTCCCAGCCCAGCAGAGGAGTGGGGAGGGTTCGTGACTATGCTGTTCAACCTCACAGCATGCTTGCACTGTAACTACAACGTGACTGAGACATCTTTAAAACGACAGTGTTCTATATTAAAGATCCCAGTGATGGCTAAGTGATTAAAACACAGAGGAGTAGCAGCTGCTAGACTGCTAGAACTGTAAGACTGCTAGAACTGCATGCTGTTATGGGGAAGCAATTATGCACTGAATACCTAAAGGTAGATATATTTGACGGAAAGAACTAGAACTGGGCTTGTAAAAAATAACTATGAGTTAATCAGTGATAGAATCAAGTTTTTCAAATAGTTGTATTAGAGAATTCTCCTTTGAGTTCTGCTTTTGTGCTCCCATTGGCTTTTGTGTGTATATTCCAAAAGTGAAAGGCAAGACAAAACTACTCCATCAAATTATTTGCCTGAATTATAGTCTGGCACATTCTGCTGTCTGCTTAGCCCTGGTGGGCAGGGTTCATATGGCTTTGAAAACTGAATTTAAGGTTATCTGATTCACAAAACCTCAATCTTAAATATTATATTAGGGAAGTCTGGGGGGGGGTGGGGGGTGGAACTTTTATCTTACACAGTGTTATAAAATACTGATTGTAATTAAAAAGCAGTTGTGTCTTGTTAGTTCTATTGTTCTGAAATAGTAATGATGGAAGACCATAAGACCATTTCCTTGCCTGTATCTAGACACATGCAGATGTTACTGCAGGGTAGCTTGGGAAGAAGCTACCATTTGCTACCAGGAGTACCAGCCTGTCTGCATGCTCTGACCTTACAATAAGTTTCAGTCATCTTGCTCGCTTTTCGCTAAACTGAAGTCCCTTCAAGCTTTCATTTACTGCTGCATAAGAACATGTAATTGAGAAAATAGATACTATTAACTTATTCCTTTGTTTGAGCTATTCCATAGCTCTGCACTGACTCCAGAAGAGCAATATCTGGTTCTGAGAGCAAAGAGGATCAGACTGGGCTCTACAGGCTGTGGAATTTTCACTAGGGCCTGAAGGTGAGGGTTCAGTATCCACTAGTTCATGGAGCTGCCTTACACCCTTGTGAAAATACCGTGTGCTGTGCTTATCTCTGCATTCCTAGTTACTAACTTCAAATAGTTTAGGAACAGTCAAGTTATTGCTCCATGCTATGATTAATATGGTACACTGTTCATGTGCTATCATCTGGGACATCTGGGTCATTTAGGGACACAAACAGCTATCAGCAGTAGGTTATGATAGATGAAGGAATTGAGCAAACTCTGCTGAAGCCAGTGTGAGTTTTTCCCATTACTGATTTGAAGCTAGATAGAGATATTTTGGCATTAAATTTATGCTTACTTCTTAGTCAGTCTCCCTCTAGGAAAGCGTGGAAATAAAACATTGAAGGAGGGCTTAAGAGAAACTTGTTCAGCTGTGATCAGTGGTGCAGTAAAGACTGTGCTCTCAGGCATAAAAGCTGGTCTGCTCCAACTTCACCAACTCCATTTAAAGTGTGTGTACCTGTTACATTAAGGAAGATAGAATGTTTGGTGGTTTGTCCTTTTAGGTACTTTTTCTCCTCCAGCTGTTGTCAAATACAAGGAATTTTGTTGCACAGCCGCTGAATTTATGCTGTTGTATGCCTGCATTTATAAGGAGGAAAAGCCCAGTCTGAAATGAGCCTTGTTTCTCAATGCAGGAGCAGTGGCAGCAGGTGCTTGCTAAGAATACCTCTGGTAGAGAGAGGAAGAGCAAGTATGCCTGTACATATCACTTTGCACACTGACACTCTTCCCAAGGCAATTGAGGAAATAAGCCAGCTAAGGTTGAAAATAGAAGCTATTTGACAATCCTTTTGTCTAATTCTATGAAGATTTAACCACAACTGTGTATTTGTCATGCGATTCATTTTAAGAAACAGCTGTTCAAAGAAATCCTCTTATTTTTCTGCTGCCAGTCAGTATCAGTTTGCTGCCCTGGTGGTAAACATTCACCTCCACCCTGTATCTATGTTTTCAGCCAGTGGGAATTCACACCAAATTATCAGCACATCTTTATAACTGGGAATTTGCACTATCTGTGTTCAGATGTTCCTGCTGTTAGCTTGAAAATCTGGCTGTTTAGTGCCAGAAACATCTATGAATCTGGGATTCTCTTCCTGGTCCTGCTGCTGAATCCTGATCATTTTACTGTAGTTAGTGGAGATCTCATAAAAGATACACCAGCAGGACTGGTACAAATACTACTCTCAAAAGAAGTAGTTACTCAGGTGACCACAAGGAGCAGCTCAGGTGAATTTATTGTAGGTTAGAAAGTTCCCTTGAAGGTAAAATCTTTGAAGTAGTCACAGAATAGGTGTAGCAGTGATAACAATTTCTAACAATGTCTTCAAGCACTGACCATAATTAGACTCTGTGTCATGGTGCCTGACCTTGAATTCATACCTATACGTTGTAATGATGTGGTTTTATGTGGATAACTCTCCACCACGAACCAGAGAAGGATATTCATTTACACTGCACAGTCGTCTAATTAAGTTGTTGAAATTAAAATTAGTTTTGACCACAGCACTTTGGGCTGATTTTTAGTTATGTAGGAGCATGGAAGATGCCACTTGCATCTATCTATCTAATATCCACATATTAGAAGAGCTGGGAAGAGGAATGGATATGAGATGGTAATGTTTGCAGCTTGTTTAGGCTAGATAACTCTGGAAAGAGTGCAAAGTTTGACAGGGATATAGCCAAGTCTGGGGATGGGCAGCAGGTTGTGCAAGCATGTGGATGTATCAGTGAGTATTGGGGAGCTAGAGGCACATAGGATCTATTAATACATCTCATGTGAGTTAACTGCAGACACAGAGCCAAGGCACTTACTACCACTGACTGTCTAATGGTGCTTCATTAGCACCATGCTTTTGAAATAGGTTCTATGTATTATTACTGGACAAATTTATAAAATTTCTCATATTTTGCCCAGATATTGGCCTCTCACGGAAAAATACCACGTCCTGGATGATCTTGAGTGAACTAATCTGGCCCAAAAATTTTTAAAAGATAAAAAGTTTTGTAGTCCATTGCCATTCTTCTAAATCGTTCACATTATTAATTTCATCTCCTTATAATACCTCTTTTCAACAGGAAGCTATCAAATGGATTCCAAGAATGTGGTCATCCTGACCCAGCTCATTCAGAATCATTTGTCTCATAATAAAAATTATGGACAGAATACACCAGGTGTACAGAAGAAGATAAATAGTTCAGAAGTCTATGTGGAAGCACTGTAAGTAGATCTTTTCTCTCCAGTAATGTAATTTTATCTTGCTGTATCTAATTGCAGGTGGCTGCTGAATCTAATGATGAGATTGCTCTGTTTTCTGTCTTAACAATGTCTCTAAAACCTGAAGCAATGAGAAAAATCAAGATTATTTAAAATTATCTGGAGTGATTGATTCCACTGTAGCACAGAAGGATATTTTTCTTGAGCTTTCATAGAATTCAGTAGTTTGAAACTATATTTTCTTCTCTTATGGAAAAGTTCTAAAACCTCTTGTAAGGTGAGAAGATTCATGAATTGGTTTTAGTAGTCAATCACCAACACGTGAGACAGAGACTGAACTAACCAAGTATTCTCTTAGATACATTACCCCCAAGAGCCATTTTTGACACTTCTAAAATATAAAATGATGATGTGATGCTTCTGATTTGGTGATAATTTACTGATTGACCTGTGATTTGCATAAGAATTTCTGTTTGCAAAAACAGACACAGCTGGTTGCTCTGCACTGCTAAAGCACAGTGGTGGCCTCATACTCATGGTCAATGTGCCACCTAGAACACAACTTGGGAGTCTCCTTGCCACCTCTGACACTTGAACAAGAGCTAACCATTCAGCCACAGGTGTCTGTTCCATTCATACCTGTCCCCATCTTTTAAATTATTCAGCAGGTTTGATCCCTGCACTAGAGGGCAGTCAGAGGCAGCTGCACCAGCTGGCAGGTATGTCACACCCACCCCAGGAAAGGTGGGACAAGGCTGAGGACCTGCCTTTTAGTCCTTCAGTCCCTTAGTGTTCGCCTTTCACCAGGGCCGGGGATGAGCAGCACAGGCACTGCCACTTCCCTTCATGAACAAGAAACTGAGGTGCAGTGGCTGAAGGCCATGATTCCATAGGACAGGGCTTGGACAGCTCGCATTGGTTTCAGTAAACATTTAAGAGCTTGCAATTGTCTGGAAAATCTGTGTGAATAGGTTTAGATAGTTCCTTATGCCATCACTGAAGGCATCAAAGCATTTCTGTTTCTGGCAAAGCTTTGTGATATGCACAAGTCAAATTGACCTGCTCAACACCACCTTCATAAATGACTGTATTCATTTGTTTGGAAGGCCCTGCAACATCTTAAATCCTGTTTGAATTGTAAGCAAGAAAATAGGAGTATCCATTCCTTCACCTGCTTTCTCCCCAGGGCAGCTGAACATGCCTGGCTTCTGGCTGTAGGTTGGTATGGGGTGTGCCATGTGGCATGACAAGGACAAGGGATTTGGCAGACCCTTTTAGAGTGTGGGCTCCCATGAGACAGAGTTCACCAAATGTTTAGAAATGTAAGCCATCATGTGAGTGGGGAAGTGTGTGTAAGGAACAAAGCAAAAGTGAAACTGGAATTTGATGACAATAGGACTAGGATGCTGAGCATTGGATTTATTTAGGGAGAAATTAATTTTTCTCCCTCTTGGCTAGCACTGAATCATTCATGGCATTCTGAATTTGCCTCTTGAGGAGGAGGCATTGCCTGATGCCTTAGACAAGACACTAAACTCAGTGGTTGCTAGTGTGACCTGGCCTGGCAGACCCTGTCCGTGTTGGAGGGAGAACTCTGGCAACCACCTGCTTGGATATTTCTGCCCTTGTGTGCAGCCAGATTTACAGCACCACAAACATGAAGAAATTACACCCAAAAAGGAACTTCGCAGAAATACCATGCTGTTAAGTGAATAGCAGTTTTTTGTAAAGAGTAGTTGACTTTGCAGACTGACCCCAAATGGATTTTGGGTAAAAGCTGGATTTTTTTCCATCAAAAAGCTGGAAAAGGGCAGAGAACTAGAAGATGTCTTATTATCTCTGGTTGAGGGCAATACCACCAAGCCATCCTGGTCAATCGTCCTCCTCCTTTGGCCCTCACATGCACTGCTCAAGACTGTCTGCAGCCCACTAGGTGCCAAGCATGCCTTTCCACCACCTGCAGCAGGCAGCCTTTCCTTTGGGCCTGCTGCTGCTGCCCAGGGCAGCGCCAGCACAAACGGCAAACACAGATCCGAGCAGCACCAAGGCAAAGCCCCATGTGGAGGAGAGTGTGCACCCGGACCTGGTCCAAGCTGAGTAAGCCATCTTTCTTCCAGGAACCAGGAAGTATCTTCAGGGGATTTTTTTCCCTAATTCCTGATTATTCTATTTATAAAGGACTGGCAATTTGTAAACATCCTCAAAGTGCAAGGTGCACTCTGAGCTTTTGCTTTCTCAGGTTTCATGTCTGTTTACATTACAATAAGTCTAAACAAATAAAGGGCAATAGTAACATCTCCCTGCTTTGTTTTCTGGCTGGCATTTCCAGGCTGGTCTGGAGAAGCTGAACACAGGAAGGGATTCCCACTGTTGTCAAGGGCTCTAAATTAATATTCCAGAACCAGTCCTACATTTCTTTCATTTTGCATGCCCTAAACTTCCACCAGTTTCACTGGGTGCTGACACTTGGCCAATGGCAGCATCAGATCCCCCAGCAGGGATCTGTCTCCTGTGCTGAGGCTATGGGAGATTCATGTTTCATTTTCCTGTGCTGTGTGTAACCCTTTTCTGCAGCATAAAGACATAGGGAGTACAAAGCCTCACCATTCTGATTTCATAGTTATACAACACCTTTGCACTTTTCCCTTCTGTAGGGGACTGCATGTGATGCAGGGCAGTGAGGAGGAGAGCTAGGGCCTTGCAAAGTGCTTGTTCTGATCACTGAGACTTAGTAGCTCTTGTGGATGACGAAAATAATTTTAAAATAAACCCAAACCCGAGTCCTTCTTTAAAACATCAAGATCCTTTCCTTTTTCTCCTTCCCCTTTCATCCTTGTTTTTTTTTTTTCATTTGTCTCTTTCTCCTTTTTATGTCTCCTCTCCTATGAGCACCAACATTTCTTTTAACCTTCTCTTTCAATTTTTCAGACATCTCTGGCCTCAAACAGGAACTGATGTGCCAAAACCCCATGAGAGAGGTCTATTCTTACTGTATTTTTGGCCTATTTTTCTTGTGAGGAGAGATGGGTGCACTCTGAAGCTCAGAATGGTATCTAGGGTTTCAGATGTTTCCCCTGACCACTGTGCCACTTGTCCATCACTTGTCCAGAGCACATACTCTGTGAAAATTACCTATCTGCTTATAAGGGAAAAAGGAGTCACCACAGGAGTTAGCTGCTGTCAGTTTGGATAGTGGAAGGGTAAGAAAAGTTACTCTGTCTTCTCTTTTGTAGGGAAAACAGTGGGACAGCATATCATAAAATGGCCACTTGAAAGGCAGTAAAGGACAAAGGGACTGCATTCAGTCACATTTCAGGTTAGCTGGGTGCCAGGTTTTCTCTCATCCGAGGTACGTTAGTTGTTTCAAGCATTTTTCTTCATGGCAGTGATAGTAGACAAGGTTTATTAATAAGAAACTGGAAGACAGAGACATAAAGAGGACAATTGCTTCACAACACAAAGGTGGGGCTATTCCCAAGTAGAAAATGCTGGCGCATAAAGCTGGACCTTGACCACTTTTGCATGAGGCAGCAGGGTACAGAGTAGTACAGTTCCATAGCCTAGCGCTTGCTCTGGTGCTGACAAGGAGTCGTTGGGCAGTTGTGCCTTTTTCTGTAACTTTGTTGACCAGTTTAAGACCAGCCTGTTTGTGTCAGTGCAGGTTGAGGTTGAAGATATTGCTTGGGTTGTGAAAGAAATGGCAGACTAGAAACTCTGCAACACTCCCCAGCCCTCCATATCTTCTTTTTTTCCTGTATTATCCAGTACTGCCTCCCCTTTTTCTGTCACCTTGCACCAAAAATAACATAATATCAGATTGATTCCTGGCATATCATTTTGGGAGCACAGACATGGACTCTCTCAATGAAGTTTATATAACATGAAAAGTATCTTTGAAAAGATTAGACAGTTCTACAGTTCTCTAAAACACTTCATTGACCTGAATTAAGCCTTCCACATAAACCTCCTTAAAAGCTCTGTGAGTCAAATCCTGCCTCCTCAATGCTTTTTCCCGAAGGATTTGGTGGGCCTCTGACAGCGTGGTTAATTTGGAAGGCAAATACCATAGAGATGATGCACAAGCACAAAAGTCCATTATATTGCCTTCATGGTGCAGAATATATCCAGGCAAGGGCAGAAGGGATGGTGGAGCAACAAGCCCTATTGTGTTTCACTTAATTAAGAACCAATTCCATGGCAGCAGTTACGTTGATTTAGTAGTAATTTTACATAACAATTTACCAGACTAGCACTGAAATTCCAAACTAAGTCCTAAAACCTTTAATAATGACGCCTGGGTTTTAAAGGAAGATGTATTTTACCTTTTTTGCCTTTTTTGCTTTTGTTTCCCTTTGGAAAAATGCCGAACAGAAACCATGTGTGTTACTTGTACACAGCAGTACATAAAATGAGAAAAATTTTCAAGCAGTACATAAAATGAGAAAACTTTTCAGAAACTTTTATCTTCTTGTGTTAGAAGTGGATTCAGGCCTGTAAATAGATGCATTCTTTAGGGCATTAGCAGTTTGCTTCAATTTTAATCAACCACATGATGCTATACCAATATCATTTAACCTGTAATCAGCTTTTGTCCAGAAACCCAAATATTAGCATTGCTAATAAGAACTCACTAAGGTGGCATGCAGGGGGGTTTTGTCCCCTGAATGCTGCCAAGCAGATAAGTTATAATATAGTCAGAGATTTGAAAGGCTGCAGTCTAAGTACTCTCCCTAGTTATAAAATGACTATTCTGGGAACTAACAATCCAGTTAGTACAATTACTTATTTCCAGTAACAGCAGGTCCAACCTGGTTCAAAGGTAAAATACCTGGTGAAGTGTAATGCCATAGTCTACAGGGAAGTTCCTCTCTGAGAACAACTATGATCACTTTGAAGCAAGTACATTAAAAATCCTTGAAGATTTGTACTGTACACAGTGTTGCTAGAAATGCTGTTTTGTTCAAATTCTAACATTATATTTAAGCAAAAAATTAATAGGCTTT